CTTAAGTCTTCAGAAGAGCATTGGTGTGAACTGCGCCGAATGGCATTGAAGATGGTTAGTTCAGTTCAAAACCCCATCCAAATGTGAAAAACTCCCTTAAAACTCATGATCAAATTGGTGAAACAACGGTGGAAGAGTTAGGAACATTGCTCAGAACGCAAACACACTCGTCACAAGCAGTGCAAGGTAATCAACTTATTCATGTGGGTCAATGGTCGACAAGAGTTGATCACTGACTCAACTAACTTCAGAACGTGCCGCCAAGTGAGGGCTATTACCCACGCCGGACGGCGGGCTGGGTCGACGTACTTTTGCCGGTCTCGCTGCGACGAGTTCGCTGTTCTCATATCCTTCCCGCGAGGTCCGCAGTTGCCAGCGTCTTCCGCGATGCGCGAAAAAAGCACGTGCACAGCAGTCTGGAGCACCTGTCCGTGTCAGTTTGCTGTTGACGCTTGCCTGGCGACGCCAACCAGGCTCGGGTCGCGTGCAGAAGCGACCAGCGCCAGCTGACGTCTGCTCTTCGGTGCAAAGCTTGACTAAACACTGTTCATGAATGACTCTTGAGAGCTTGAATTTGTGCAGGTGCGCGCTTCCATCCTTGATTATAGCTTGACATCTGCTGGCATCACATTTGATTCATTATTTCGAGACCAACAGCCACTGGAAGGTATATATATATATATATATATATATATATATATATATATATATATCTACATATATATGTATATAAGTATACCATTCTGTTCCGCAGCCGGCTATCTGAACGCTCGTCATTCCTCCTTTTTCGTTCCCCTTAATTTATAACCCAATTCGACATTCTAATGAACGGCACGAAAAAACGAGGCGTGCACTTGGACAGGAGCTTTGTCTGCCCGCAAATGCAACCACAGCATCGCTACCTTCAGGCGACGTGCTGGACATCAAACATGCGCTGTATGCATCATCTTGTTAAGGGAATACGTTTAAGGTATAATTTAACAGCCCGCTTTGGTAGCGAGGAGTGTAGAGCTGCATTCTTTGAGGAGGTTATGCCCTTCTCAACGTGAATCTAGCCTTCCAGTGTAGATTTGGGCGTCCAATGTTTTGTAGGAATATGAAAACAAACGACGCAAACTCGAATACACACAAAACTCGTATTCGTTGGAAATAATTTCATGAATACCCTGATGTGAAATAAGGGGCTACCCGATAAATGATGCAAAACTAAGAAGTGAAAAATACCGATCGTCAAAATAAACCGTTTAAGTTCGTTGAGGGACATATTTTGGAGAAGGTTGGGTTGCCGGACCCTCGCCTTGGCTCAACAATCATTTTCACGAACCGATGGTCTTGATGAAAGCCCAGAGCACAGCGGCCAACGACCTCGAATTGAATGCATTCCAAGCAACGCTGGCACCCCAACGAGTGCTGACAGTGATGATTTCACCTAGCCTTAAGACACACACCGCAAGGCCTCGTTCATGAGAGCTCACCGGCGACCACGAAATGCATTACCGATCAAGGACGGCATCGATGGCGTCGCCACAGCTCCTGCTATGGGGATGGATTTCGCATGCAACGCGCGTGCTCGGCACGGATGCTGCAGGTGGCAGCGTTCAGCCGGACCGACCGATGGGGGGGCAGCGGCGCAGGACGCGTCTCGGTCCCAGCGCTGGACGAGACGCAGAGCTCGCCTTGTCCCGGTACACTGAACTCGGTGTCACTCTGACTGCGGGTGGTGCTAAGTCGGATGATGACTGGGGTACAGTAAGCGCGGTGAGACCATATGGCTCATCGTTGGCCTGCGCGCAGACCTGCCATCCGTGCGACCCTGGCGTTTGTGTCCTTCAAAGCAGGTCCAAGGGACTTAAAGGCCTCACAACATGCATTGCACGCAAGAAAATCACACAGGAGTATGCCACACCATATGCGATCACCACGTTCTTTGCACGATTTGTGTTAAGAGAAATACAGACCACCACTGTTCCACACTGGACGGCCATGTACAAGTACTGACAATGATGAAATCCGTGTAAGCCATGTGATGTGCACCTATTCCTTAAGCAGAGGATCATTACGCATCCAATGTATCCTCATCGCGTACATCCCCGCAGCTCATGATGAGGAGCCGTATTGGCACATATAAAATATCTTGAGCTATGATAAACTGATGACGTACAATTATCCTTACAACCAATTCATCGAACAGTTAGGCAAGCAGAACGCGGTCGGATTTGGGTAAACTTACCAGGCTGCGTAGTCTGTCCGCTTCGCTAAGCACTCATCGTGAATGAAACCGGATGTGGTGTTCTCTATTTTTGAACACCTCATTCTATCCAGCTTCCGAAGGTTGCTCATAGTTCCCTCTATAATTATTGAAACTCACTGGAAGCGATGACTGGATCTGAATCGTTAAATGACTGGTTTGGGGACGGAGTGTGACTGGATTTGATCTGTGCAACGTGCAGGCTGCATGCCATTGCAGGCCTCACAATGGATGTATGTGACACGCATAACTGAACTTTTGTCGAGAACACAAGTTGCTGAATCGGTTATGCAATTGGCTGAAAGGAGCGGGACAGAAATCCACCACACATATAAACATCTCTCCTTTCCGCAGGTCCGCTGCTTATGCATTCTGAAACTGTACTGGTTTATTTCCTTAAGATCGTTGTGATAATGATGCGATCTGTAACTAGATTTAGAAGATAAATTATTGTCACCGACCTTGCTGCTGTCTGCATTCATTGCTTGCATTATTGACGAAACAGTGCTGGGGAAGCATGCGCGATAACAAATACACATTAAAGCATATGTCCTCTCTTTGATCCGTTTTGCTTGTTATTGTGATGGTAACGGATTTCGAATCAGAGGGTAAAAAGTAGGCAGCGCATAGTTTTTATTTCACACAGCTGACCCCTGTGATTTCAAAGACGATCATCGCTGCAATTCACGTTGTGATGTGTCGTCCAGTTTACGGGATTACTTAATTATCATTGAATAGTGAATGCTGTGAGCCGGTTTTGGTCATAGCCAACAATTAAAAGCCAGTTCCCGTTTTGTTTCCGTGTTCTCATTTCCATCTCCTATTTACTCTTCGTAAAGGTTCACACGCCGGCTGAAAGCGTCCCTGCCTTGTGAACATGTGAGTGCTGGCACACCTGGCGAGCCGCGCGGGAGCAGCGGCGGGCTGGCCCAGTTGGGTGTCGTGGGCGGGCCGCGACGCACGTGAGATCATTTGTTTACGCCCAACAGTTGGTCTGTTTACCACCGCCTGTCGGCGCGGACCCGGCAGGAGACCAGCCGAGTCGGAGCCACCGAGCTGGAGCGAGACGCCAGGCGACGAGGTCTCTTTCGCAACAGGGAATATGCGGACGCGAGGCAACCGACCCGACAGGCGATATATGGTGACAAAACGACCGGAGACATATTGCCATAACGCCGCAACTTAGTCTGGACACATGCTCAGCTGAAACTGCTGCTCACGTAGAGAAGGTGTGCCAGACGGCGGGCCCGGCGGCGGCGTGGCGACAGCTCGGCCCCGTATCGACTCGGCCCGGCCGCCGACGCGCGCTCAATGGGCGGAGACGGCGATTGGCACGACGATTCACGACTTCCGTCGAGCCAGCCGCTGCGCTGTCGGCGGCGACGGGCTTCGTCACCCGACTGAGCCCGGCTAATTTCGTCCGACGCGACGCCCCCCCCCCCTCCCCCCCCTCCCCCCCCCGTCCCGGCTCTTTCACCCTGACGACCGCGCTCTCCCGCACGCGGAGGCCGGTTCTGCCGTGAGGGTTCGTATATCGCTCGCCTGCAGGAACTCATTTCCATTCGTCAGATTGGGGCTAATTATGTCGCCACACCGCTATCTTCGCCGCTCTGGGACGGCGCAAGCGTATCCACGGTCGGCTGGAAGGCGGTGGGGGCAAGGGCACGGCATGTGTCGGGCACGGCAGCACCGCCGGCCCAGTGTTCAGGCCGGGACTGGGTCGGTGGGGTTCTGAGGGCAGGGGAGATCTTGCGCAGCCCGCGGGTGACCCTGAAACTGGAAAGTAACGCGATATGTTGCAGGCTTTAGCATGGATTGAGAGAAAACAGAACAAAAAGGCATGCTTTATCAGAATAAGAGCAAGTTTACGTTTCCAGATTGGGGAGATGCTGGGAAGAGCGAGAGGTGACTGTAGAGGAGACGCTCGCGATAATGTGCTGTCATTAACGTCACGGCACCGTGCAAGCTGTCAGATCTATGTACCCGTGCTCTGAAATACTATACACAATGCCACGCAGTGTCGAAACAAGACGCCGTCGCCGCCGGTGTCAGAAGGTCGGATCTGAAGCTATTTAGACGCTGAATGTCTTCGGATGTCGCAAGGTCCCAGTGTGGATCTACCAGCCCGTCACGACGTCGTCGTTTGGATTTCGCCAGGAATGCGCAGACTGCTCTATCACCGGTCTGCATGTCGCAACAGCGCCTTTTCTTACAGCAGCAGCGGATACCTTCTGCCCGGCAACGGCGACCTTTGCATCGAGAACGCATCGACCACGATACGGGGCTCCCCGCGGAACCCTGCACCGTTTGCCGGCCGGCCATCTGCCGTCACGTGCGGAATGTCGGGCCATCTCTCAGTGGGTCACCGAGCGGCGCAGCAGCCGAAAAACCGCACCTTGTCACGCACCTCAAATGAAATCGCGCAGACCTGTTTGTCGGGTTGTGTATGCATGAGCAAGCAAGCATTACTCAGCTCGAGCCGGCCCTCGGCACGCCGGCGGCAAGGCCCGACGCCGGATGAAAACGCAGTTGTTTAAGCGTGACGTCGGTATAATTGATGCGAGCTCGTTTCGCCAGAGCAATTGGACGGCGCGACGTCGCGGTGGCGCAAGCCGAACCGGCCGCCGGCCCGGTGGTCCGGGTCGTGTTTGCTCTTTGACTTTTACTTTTCGTCGCGTTTTCTCCGCGGCCCGGCGCGGATGTCAGTCGGTCGGCGCTCTGCTGGCGGTGTGCGGCGTGTCCCGGTCGGCAGCACGACACCGCGAGGCTCTGCACTGAAGCCGGCCCGATGCAGCGCGAGCCACGGGAGACGGCGGTCGGAAACCGCGGCCGCGCTCGGGGTGGAGGCGCTGATGACGTCAGCGTGAGGTCACAGGTGTCGGCGAGAAGCCACGCGAGGCTCAGCGAGCAGTGCGAGGGCGCCGGTGATGTCAGTGTGGAATACAAGGTCACAAGTGATGCATCCAAGGACCCAAGAGGCACGGTAATTACAAGTGGGTAAGAATACCAGCGTCGGAGATTTAGAGATCAGCCAGGTGCCGCGCGGGAGAGACGTTTGTGAGATCCTCATCGGAAACGATAACGTCAGTGAATAGCGGACATGACGTCAACGAAGCGTGACAAGTGACATCATGCCGAGCGTTGTCACCAGACAGTCCACGCGGCCGGAGCCGGAGCCGGAGCCGAAGTCGGAGCCGGAGCCGAAGTCGGAGCCGGAGCCGAAGTCGGAGCCGGAGGCGAAGTCGGAGTCGGAGTTGGAGTCGGAGTCGCGGCCAGGGCGGCTGCTGGGCCGGGCTCTGGCAGCGCGCGCGCGGCCGCCACCAGCCGACCCGCCGAACGCGGCCGTGGTGCTGGCGCTCGGGCTGGATGAGTACCTGGGCCTGGTCTACAGTCAGCTGGCCGGGCCGGCCGGCGTCGGGCGCGCCGACCTGCACCGGCTCTGCGCCCTGCTGGACGGCCGGCCGCTATTTCCGGCCGACAGCGCCGACGGCGGCGCCGACGCCGGCCAACCCGCGCTCGGTCCGGCTGCCTTCCGGCACGCCGTGTGCGCGCACTTCGGCGTGACGACGGCGCCGCCGGCGGTCGCCAGTGCGCCGCTGGTCGACGTCGAGGTGACGGTGGTGCGTCGCGCCGGCGCCGTCGACGCCATCGAGAGGGCGCTGCGCACGGCGCGGCCGCCGGCCCCCGCCGCCGCCGGTCGCCGCAGGTCGGGCCGCGGCGAGCGACGGCCGCCGCGCGGCGCCCCGGCCGTCAGCGACGAGGCGGCCAGCCTGCTGCTGCTGGAGCGCGAGCTGCAGGCACTGCGCGAGCTGGTCGAGGACCTGCGCCGCTCGCTAGCTGTCTCGGACGCGCGCAACATCGGCCTCGAGCTGCGCGCCCAGCAGCAGCTCGAGGAGCCCACCATGGGCCGCTCAGCTGAGAGCGACGCGCCGTGCGATGGCCACCGCCCGCTCCCACCTGCCGACGCCGCCGACGCTGCCGATGCCGCCGACGCCGACTCGCAGCGCGGTGAGGCCATCGAGGCCGAGACCAATCGCTCCCTGAGCGAGGCGCAGCGCAACTTTGACGCGCTGATCCGTGAGCTGCGCGCCATCAGCGAGCCGCGCGCACCCTACCACCCTGAGCTCTCGCTGGAGGACGAGCTGGAGCGCACGCACGAGGCGTTGCGGCTCACGCAGTCGGACCTGGAGCGCTCGCGCGCGGCCGTGTGCGGCGCGCGCGGCACACTGCGCGGCAAGGATCGCCAGGTGCTGCTGGCGCGCCAGGACCTGATGGCCGCCGAGGCGGCCGCCGCCAGGTGAGGGGCCGTCAACCCAGCGGGACGCGGGAAGACCATGGCGTCGGCCATGTCGCCGCCAGGTCACCGTTCCATGTCACGCCAGTGACCGACGCAGATGGTCGACCGCTGATGCTCCTGAGCGGCGCATGTGGTGTCGTGTTGGAGAAGGGGCATTCTAGGGAGACGCGAGGGGCTCAAGAGTGCTTTGTTCGACCTTTTTTGCATCACATGACGCATGCATTACATTACATCACAATGGTCGCCTTTTTATTAAGAGGAAGTTCCCTCCGTCTCTTTTGCTTTCTCACCAGCCTGGTTTTTCGCAGTACGTTTCACGTCAAATGCGAGTTTCCGAAGTGGAAATTGTCAAACGAGAAAGTGGCTTGTGATATAATGTCAGCAATCAGCGCTGTAACATTTGCTGACACCATTTATTTGGCCCTGCTACCTTTTGCTTTTGTCCCTTTCCTCATCCTCAGACGTTTATTAAACAAATGGACGCGACTGATTATTTTAATAGCTGGAAAGAAAGGTTGCCTTTTCTCCAGCTTCCCGACACATGCAGCACAGTATCAAGATATTGCCGTCCCTTGCGACCACTTTCTCGTTTGGTGCACTGTCACAACCTGCAAAGGTAGTGAGACGCGTGGAGATGGAGAGGGGGTGAAAGATACTCAATGCTTTCATGTCTTGTCTGATTACCGAACGGTGATAATGCACGCAATTAGTTTAAACATGCAGTGCACATAACTCACTCTTGTTGCCATTAATTGCTCTTAAGAGCGGTGTGTACAGTGACGGGTGATGTGTGCAGTGTGGACTAGTGTATAGTAAGGACTGGTGTGCAGTGTGGACTGGTGTGTGCAGCACGAACTGGTTTGTGCAGTGTGGACTGGTGTGTGCAGTGCGAACTGGTGTGTACAGTGTGGACTGGTGTGTGCGGTGCGAACTGGTGTGTGCAGTGCGGACTGGTGTGTGCAGTGTGGACTGGTGTGTACAGTGCGAACTGGTGTGTACAGTGTGGACTGGTGTGTGCAGTGCGAACTGGTGTGTGCAGTGTGGACTGGTGCGTGCAGTGCTGGAATGGTGTGTGCAGTGCGGACTGGTGTGTACAGTGAGGACTGGTGTGTGCAGTGTGGACTGGTGTGTGCAGTACGGACTGGTGTGTGAAGTAAGGACTGGTGTGTGCAGTGCGGGTTGGTGTGTGAAGTAAGGACTGGTGTGTGCAGTGTGGACTGCTGTGTGAAGTAAGGACTGGTGTGTGCAGTGCGGACTGGTGTGCGCAGTCCGGGCTGCCGTGCCCGTGAATGACTTGTGTGGGCGTGATGACACGTATTTGCAGATGTGATTCATGTGTACTGTGTACGGGTACGACGGTACGTACAGCAGCGGCTCGGGTATGCAATGAGAACGTGTGCGTGTAATGATATCCGGTAGATACGATGGTGCCGGTGTATTTAGTAAGGCCCGGTGTATGCAGTAACTCCCGATAAATTTCAGTGAGACATGGCGTACGCAGTAAGTTCTAATGCACATGCGCTGAGGACTGGTGAAGCCTCTTACCTGCAACGATATCTGTATATACAGCATCTCCGGTATATACAATAAAATCCGGTGGGTACAGTAAGGTCCGGTGTGTACAGCGCCCGTCCAGCACAAACGGTGATAGCTGATGTGTGCAGCATGGCAAGACTATACAGCGAGGTCTGTGTATCCAGCAAGGTCCGTTTTACATGCCCAGCAGATGGTGTCGGTGTGTGTCCAGCAGCCCACTTTGAGCAGGGTGCCACCGTATGCACCTCAGGGTGCGCTTTGTCCAGTGAGTCCTGATATAAGCGGTAACGCCTGGTGTGCACGATTGAGCACGCTGCCTGAGGAGCGACGCCCGGTGCATACGGTGACACCCTGCTAACGCAGTGGCGCCTGTGTGACCTGGAGTGCGTGCCTTCACACAGTGATGCCCGGTGTGCACGCCAGGACGCGGGATGAGGTGAAGCTGCTGCAGAGCGAGCTGCAGGCGAGCCAGCACCAGCTGGAGATGGAGCGGCTGGCGCACGGGCGCGCCGACCACCAGCTGGACTGGACTCGAGCCCAGCTGGCTGAGCGGCAGACGGCGCTGGAGGAGGGCCGCACCGCGCTGCGCAACCTCCATCAGTCCAGGTCAGGGCAACCAGCCGGACACCAGAGCCGGTCGCTGTCACATAGTGGCGCAGGCAGGGGAGGTAGCACAGGGACACGTGCCTCTTCTTGGGCCTACATTGTCCTACGGGCCATTTAGGACACGATTTAGATTATGGCATCGGCCAATTAAATGCATTGTAAATATAATGTAAGGGCCGATTTAAGGGCTTGTTCTGGGCCTGATTTAAGGGCCCAGGGCGTTGGCCAAAGAACGTATTAAGGGTTCCGGTCCGCAGGGCCGGGCCCTAAAATGCCAGTCTAAGGCCCTTTGCGCCGATTGGGGCTCTCCTGAGTCGATAAAGCCCTCTTTGGTAATCAGGCACCACCAGCACCAAATTATCGGCTGCGTGTCGGCTTAGGCCTGCGGGCCTGTTTATTTCTCATGCAGGAATAAGGCCGGAACCCGCGAATCACAATGGTCGGGCTCCTGAGTCAATGAGGGGCGCCCTGTGCTGGCCAGCAGCCCACAGTGCCTAGCAGGGATCCTTTATTGGTAATGGTCCCCGAGTCCGTCAGGCGAAGTGGTCGAGGGCGCCCGAAGAGGGCTCCAAGTGTCCCTCAGGACCAGCGATCAATTGCCCGATTTTATAGTGGAAGGGCCCAAAAGGCCTAAAGGTCACATTAAGGACACCGGCTCTATGAGCTGAGCTTCAAATGCCAGCCAGAGGGCCTCTTGCACCGAATGGGGACACGCTGAGACAATGCCGGCTTCTATTTCGGCCAAAGACCACCACCACCGAACAGTTGGCTCCGTGTCCGTGTGAACGCTGGGAGCCCACTGCCCAGGGCCGGAGCCCGCACTTTGCACTGCTCGGGGCCCCTGAAACACGAGGGACCCCTGTGTCGTTTCGGGGCCCGTAGTGGCTAACGGGTTCCTGTCTCGGAAGGGGATCCGAGTCGGCCAGAGAAGTATTCACTGAACCGGCAGAGGGACGGGACCCCGAATGTCAGAGAGGCTAATGCGTTGGTCGTGGCCCTCTAACAAAGAAAGGATAGATGTAAACCTATGGCGAGAGTCCACAATAAGATAACGGGAGGGCCCTGCGTTAGTGACGGGTCCCAGTATGGCGAGAGTCCACAATAAGATAGCGGGAGGGCCCTGCGTTAGTGACGGGTCCCAGTACCGAACGAGGGGCCTCCACCCTGTTTACCTATGGCGAGAGTCCACAATAAGATAGCGGGAGGGCCCTGCGTTAGTGACGGGTCCCAGTATGGCGGGAGTCCACAATAAGATAACGGGAGGGCCCTGCGTTAGTGACGGGTCCCAGTACCGAACGAGGGGCCTCCACCCTGTTTACCTGTGGCGAGAGTCCACAATAAGATAACGGGAGGGCCCTGCGTTAGTGACGGGTCCCAGTACCGAACGAGGGGCCTCCACCCTGTTTCAGGCAAGGAGCCGTCAACCCGACCTGGAGTCTCTTGGTCAATTAATTGGACCTCTTATGAATATACTTCAAACAATTAAATATCTTATTGCTTCAATAAGGGTACCTGCGTCGACCTGGGGTCAAATGCCCGGGTCGGAGGGCCTACGGCGTCAGGCAGGGGCCAATGATTGATGTATCCCTCTATGGACTTCCATATCGACCAGGGGACCGCGCCCTCCCGTGGCCAAAATGACAGCTGGCAGTCACTCCACGCTGGGACGGGATGGTACTGCAGCCCCTGACCGGGATCGGTAATATGCCCCGCGTGTTCTTTCTACCTATGGGGGACCCCTTGACTGGAAAAGGTAGGGGTCTCATAGGCTTTCAATCGAGTGGACCGAAAGGAAGTTTGAAATGATAAAAGATTTACCCTTGCTTGCCTGAAGATGTCCATCCTTTTCCAGAATCGACTAGTGTAGCAAATGACGTAAACAGTTTTGAGTCTGCGCGCTCGCAACATTAGGGGCGAGAACACCTATTGCCGGGTTTGCAGTTTCAGTACAACCGAACGGCATTGGCCGCTGCAGTTCAAACCAGGCGGCGGGTGTCGGGCGCGCGGGGACGACCGTCTGGAAATAATGCCACCGAAGGAAGGCTTTCAAAATCAATTTGTGCTCTTTAAAGCTTTGAATGGGGCATATATTTTACTTGCATGTTGTTGAGAGCATACTCTGAATGGTTTAGCAGTTGCAGCAACACGAAAAATAAAGCGTATAGCTTTACTCCTTCAGTTCCGACGCCAGATTCTAGCCCTAGTTCGGGGTGCTAAAACGCTAATCCGTTTCTAATACCAATCTAGAAATCGTGTTGGCAAAGCATACGCCTGGGCTACCTTTTAAACGACCAGGAATTTATTTCCTAAGCGTTTACAAGAGCATTTTTGACATGCATCATCATTCTTGTCCGCTCACTGGCCGCTGTCTAGTGTTGGCCACGGGGCCGACGCCGCACAGTCGAGTGAGACTGCAACGACGGGCGTCGGGATTTTAATTTCGAAGACTTGCGAGCGCGCGTATTCAAAACCATGTTTAACAGCGTACTTACTTGTCGTTGTTGAATGAAATTGGAAAATTCCCAGCCGAATATGGGATGGTTTTGTTGATACCAATTTTTGTCCGCGTTTCGATCTACAGCCTACGTTTACGGGTCTTCAATATCTGTAGCACCCATACAAATTTAGCAAGGCCTCTGAGTGCTATTGGCTTAGAAAGGGTTCACTGAAACATCGTCAAATGAAGTGCGGTGGTAGCTTTTTCCATGCATCCATTTCATGCTCAGTGTATCAGTTAACTGACTCCAAATTCAAATGCAATGATATCTTTTGGTAGCCTTCGGGCGTATGGTCTAGTTAAAGGACACGAAATAAACACAAAGAAGAAAATTGTGGCCCATCGAAATCAGATGGGCCAAATAGGGTTATTTTTGCACGGGGTCCATTCACCATAAGGAGGTCGTTTGGTTATTCTGTACCCCCCCCCCCCCTTCCCGTTAGCAAGACTGGCTGCGCCCCTGATGTCACAGGTAAAACCTGCTAGTCTAGGAGTATGTTCTGGGTGCTAATCCAACAGCTCGGGACACCATATGCCGTTGTGAAGTCGTGAAAATCTGTGGAGCTTGTGTTGCGCTTCACGCAGGGACGGGCACTGGCCGTGCTGCCTCCTCTATCCCATACCAGATCTCACAAAACGCTGCGAGCTCAGGTCAAGAACACCGGCCATCGTTTATCACGTCTTTACCATTTCAAAGCATTCATAATGTGTGAGGGCAATATCAGATGCGTTGCGGTGTGAAGTACATTCTATTCCGAGTAGCATTGGGTGAACGATCGAATTTGTTCGCAGGCGAATTTGGTGCCGCTTATTTGACTTTTTGTTGCTTTGCTGGCACAAATAAGGTCTGCGGCTGACATTCCATTAAAACTAAATTACTTCCACCGATCTGTTTTCTCGGCTTTGCCCAACAGCACGTGGTCTGAAATGAGCTGGAAATTTTGTTTTCTGTGATCTCATCTACTATTTCATTGGCTTCATAAGTTGCGTCAACTGAAACATGACATAAAAACGATATCCTTTTGCATTCGATTATAAGATACCTGCATAAAATAAAACTTCATATATGCACATGAAACGTCATGTAACATCCATGCTACCACGCACGATCCTCATCAAGTCTGGACAGAGTGCCTTTTCATGTCTGAAGCAACGTAGTCTGATGGACATGGCATTTCGTTTGATTATGCGCGCGAGTTCAGTTGATTATTGAATAACAGCAGTCTGAATTGGTTTTGGCACCGTTGCTGAATGCCACTGTGCCACCGTGTTACTGCTCTAACGTATGCCGAACTCATTTACTGTATTGAGACGTGTAAACGCATTAACGGCTGGTGAACTGAACGCTCATTTTCTGTACCGCACTTGACTTGGTTAGAATCCGTCGCCAGACGAGGTCGTGGTGGACCCCAACTCCCCAGGGCTGTCTTTCCAGAATCTCGTCATATTGTCAAATGGACGGCGCTGTCAACATGGGCATATATATAGTACATGGCGCATCCTTTGCACAGGTTTTGGGGAGTATCAATTCTGGCAAGTCATGTCGCTGAGCTATGGCGTCATTCCTAAAGACTTCCATCTCGTTTTAACGATAAAGTCGGTTTCGCCATTCGGCAGCAGTAAATTATGTCTTTGGACGTTTGGGTACGACATCAAGCTGATATCGGCATAGGTCATCACTGTAGGTCAATAGCCTAAGCCACATCAATAGAGAAGTAAATACCCAAAGACACTGGCTGGTCTGACTGACTTTTTTCAAAGTGGTCTTAGATCAATTTTTGATACTTGTTTGCCCACGACATATTTGAGCCGCTATTTTGCTGAAAAATCCCGTTCTCTGCTTCTTAAAGCTATCATTTGTCTGCTTTTTTCACTGTCGTGGTTGGCCTAACCTTCAAGTCACGGGCTTATCTGATTGTATCAAACCAAACACAATTAGATTCTATAGTTGCTAGGCCATTGGCGGTTTTTATTCTGTGGCTGCATTTTGGGGCAGGATGGCGAAGAGTGCCTACCGCCTCGCTCGATGCGCTGTTGCGAATAGCCGTCGCCCAGCGAGGCACAACGCAGGCCGCAATGGATCGACTAGCTCCAAATAATTCCTTATGCGTTGACTTTTCCCTGCATGAGCGTAATGCCCATTTCCGCGGCGCCTGTCCGTTGTGCCGTGCCGGCGCGCCACCGGCGCGCTCTGCTCCGTCTCGCCGTGCTCCCGCCGCACCGACACCCCCGTGGGAGGGCGGACGCGATTCGGCTGGCGCCTCCGGCAGCGCGGGAGTGGTCGATGACGGTCCCGGGGGGCTTCGGGGACCTCAGCCGGGACGGATCGGGCCGGACCGCGCCTCATCAGAGCCGCCGGCGAGCCCGCTCGCGCGCAGTGACGGCTCGACGCCACTTGCCAGCGCGCACGGAGGTCGGGTGGGAAGTCAGGAGCGCGATGCGCGCGGGTGGGAACTAGCGAAAACGCCAGGTGTAATTTACGGCCCGTGAATAGCCGGCGTGC